AGCCTCTAAGGGGCACCGGAGGGTAAAGCAGGCGTGAACAGAGCGGCGCCTCGGCGGCCTCGGGTGACCGAGAAGCCATTTCCCACTGAGCCCCAATCTCGTCGGCTGGGCGCCTGCCGCGTCCGAGAGCCGGGGAAGCGCGAGGCGGAACCGCACCTTTACGTCCCAGTTCACCACTTGGTGTCCCGTCAGCCTCCCGTCGAAACAATGGTTGGGAGACAGGTCCAGGCAGATGTTATTTTTACAGGCCTACAAGGGCGCAAGCAAAGGACAGGGGTTTGGAACACACGATGGGCTATGCCCACAGGTTCCACACACACACACACACACACACACACACACACACACACAGCATGAGCCACTGTCAGAGACAGCTACACACACACACAAACACACACACACGCCACTGTCCTAGATAGCCAGACACACACACACGTACGCCAACTGTCCTAGACAGCCTGACACACACACACACACACACACACACACACACACACACACACGCCACTGTCCTAGATAGCCAGACACACACAGGCATGAACTCCACTGTCCTAGACAGCTAGACACACAAACACACTCACACACACACACACACACACGCCACTGTCCTAGATAGCCAGACACACACACGCATGCATCAACTGTCCTAGACAGCCTGACACACACACACACACACACACACACGCCACTGTCCTAGATAGCCAGACACACACACACATGCATGCCACTGTCCTAGACAGCTAGACACACAAACACACTCACACACACACACACACACACGCCACTGTCCTAGATAGCCAGACACACACACGCATGAACGCCACTGTCCTAGACAGCTAGACACACAAAGCCACTGTCCTAGACAGCCAGACACACAGCGAAATAAGTGGCCTTCAGGTTTGGGCTGGGACTCCAGAATCCCTGGGAATCCCTCCTCAGCTCTGCTACACACTTTCTGCACGGCCTGGGTCAATTTACTTGACTGCTCCGAGCCCATGGAACATGAGAGTGACCACTTCCCCTGGCCTGTTTCGATTGGAACCCGGGCCATGGAGCACAGGCACACCCGCGAGCACCCGCGGGGGCGCCCGTCTGCCAGCGTATTCCTCGTTCCTGGGGTCCTGAAGTTAAAGGGGAGGTGGTGACAGGACGGGATGGGGAAGGTGGTGCCCGGGGGGGCCGGGCCGGGGATGGGGGTGCCAGGCCAGGAGAGGTGGTG